CACCAGGACTGAGTTTCTCACACAGACGGTGCCTACCCAGACCTCCCCTTCCATCACAGACCCCATGCTGGAGCTGCCACCCACAGGCATGTGATTCCAGTCCCCACAGATTGACCCGCTGCTTCATCCCACCTGGGCCCTGGATTTGGGGGCAGGACTCTCTCCCCTCGGGTGGGGCGGGGGGCTCAGGGTGGCCACACTGCACTTCCGACCAAGGCTGAGCGCCGGGTTCAGGGAAGGAAACGCACAGTCATTCAACGCCCTGCCCTCCCTCGGGTTCCAGGCTGCTGTGCTATTCTGCCAGGAGAGAGGGCCGAGGCGGAGTGGCCATGATAGACTACAGGCTCCCATGATGGAAAAGAACTTCAGTCCAGGCTGACCTCAAGTCTCTATGCTATTCCCCAACGAGGCTTGAAAAGAGAGTCAAGTTTCATAAACGTGGCTATGAAAAGCCTCTGCATGTTGGGACTGCCGTCTGCTCTTCCCTGTGCCACAAGCATCGCCAAACAGCCATGTCTCTGCTCTCAGTGACAGCCGGCGACTGCAGGAAGGGAGCTAGCAGGATTAGGAGTGATGATTGTTGCTGTACTGTCTTTAATTTTTATGCTCTATGCATTGGTTTTCTGTCATTCGGAATTCTGCCATTTCTACAGGCTTTCTCCCTCATCATACGGATTCCAAACTGTAAAATCATCTATGACCCTTGATACCTCTGTCTTCCTTGACTCTCCACCTCATCATCCAACCAAAAGCCAGGGGCTATGCTATTAATTCCCCCGCTAAAGCTCCTCTGCATACAGTATTAGTCTTCTCGAGCTGCCAGAACAAAACACCACAGGCTGGGTGGTTTAAACAACAGACGCTTATTTTCTCACAGTTCTGGAGGCTACAAGTTCATGATCAAGGTGCTGGCAAATGCAGTTTCTGGAGCGGCCTCTCTTTCTGGTCCACAGACATCTGCTCTCCCACTGGTCCTCACTGGCCTTGCCTCTGACTGGAGGTGGCGAGGCTCCCTGGTCGGTAACACTCCATCCAGCGCGCCAGTGCTGGGAGCTGACCGTTCTGACTCCGCAGGGAGAGACGGGACACTTCACACGGGGGACCTCCCAGACCGCCCCCAGCATCTCTTCTACTGGCTGGTTCTGACTTGTATCCTGTGGCTATGATAAAATTGTGATCCTAAGTACAGTGCTTTCCTGTAGCCCGTGAATGGTTCTAGCGAACTCTTGAACCCGAGGGGGAGTGGGCACCTTCACATGTGTAGCCAGCGAGGCAGGAGTGCGGTGTCCGAGCTGAGGGCATCGGAATCCAGGGCCGTCGTGGCCTCAGCCTAGAGGGGGGCCTGACTCCGGTAGATGGCGTCAGAAGTCATCGCAGTTATGCCGAGTGAAGGAAGTCGGACAGAAAGGAATACACGTCATAGTCTTTAAAAATGCAAACGACTATATATACAGGTAGGCAGAAGTAGCTTTACAGCTGTTTGTATGGAAAAAGACATGAAGGTTATGATCATCACAACAGGTTTATTATTGCAAAAGAATGTCACTCACAACTGTAAACCTACTTTTGCCGTCCCCTGTTTGGTAACAAAGCAGATCCGTGGCTGTCTAAGACCAGGTGAGGGCGAGGGGGAAAGGAGGGATTATCAAGGGGCAGGAGCAAATTTGGGGGTAGTGGTGATGTATATGTTCAGTGTGTTGATTGTGGTGATGGTTTCATAGGTGTACATACATGTAAAAAACGTATCCCCTGGCCAGGTAGCTCAGTTGGTTAGGGCATCGTCCCAATGACTGTGGGTTTGGTCCCCAGTCAGGGCACATACAAGAATCAACAAGTCTTTCTCTCTCTCTCTCTCAAATCAATAAAATGTTATTTAAAAACATCAAATTGTACAATTTAAATATGTTCAGTTTATTATATGTCAATAATAAGTCAATAAAGCTAAATTTTTTATCCTCACCCAATGATATTTTTCCATTTTTTGTTCAGATAGAGTGGGAGGGAGAGAGAGGAAGAGAGAGAGAGAAAAACATAGATGTGAAAGGGACACATCGAGTGGCTGCCACCCACACGACCAACCAGGGCTGGCGACAAACTGCAACCGAGGTACGCACCCTTAGCGGGAACCGAACCTGGGTCTCTCGGGACCACAGGTCGACACTCCAACCACTGAGCCAAACTGGCCAGGGCAATAAAGCTAATTTTTTTTTTTTAAAGAAAGCTCAGTGCAGTCCTCACCTGTCATTACCTTGTTCAGAACTTTCCATGGTTTACCCAAAGTCTACTGAACCTAAATCTTCCATGATCTGGTCATAAGCTATCTTCCAGCCTTGCCCTACACAAATCCTTTGATCCCATCAAATGATGTTTCTTGCTATTCTCCAAGTAGACCCCATGCTTCCAACCTTTGTAACTACTCACACTCGTTCCTTTGCCTAGAATGCCCTTCCCCGAGTTACCACCCTCTCTCTACCGATTAGGTTTGCTATCCCTTAAGCTTCGCTTAAATGTAATTCCACAAATTCTTCCTGGAGTTCTTGAGTCAGAAATGATCTGTCCCTCTCCTAAACTGTAATGCTTTTTGTGTGTGGCATTTTGCAGTGTCTTGTGCTTCCTCTGTATGTGTGTATGTATAGAAGTAAATCTCCCAGTTAGAATCTTAGCTTTTTGAGGGTAGGGGGCTATGTGCTTTATGTATTCTTGTATTTTCCATGACAAGTAGCATATTCTTTGCAAATAGAGGCTAGTCAAACAGTAAATAGCCCAAAACACAAATTTCTCAGCATCCTTCCCACAAAGCTTTTTAGATCCTTAAACCAGTGTATCACAATCTCTTCTTCCTACTCCTCCACCAGCTCCTCTTTCTTCTCCTTTTCCTCTTCTTCCTGCGAAACCCCTTACTTTCTTAACTCTTTTCTTAAGCCAAGTCCTGTTCCTCATCCTCTTGTTTTTGTTAGGGGGACACACATGTGTATTTTGGTATTATTATATGTTTCGTCTACATAATAAACACTCTCTACTCTTCAAGAAATTTCAAATTATAGCTGCCTTAAATCTTAATTATCCATCTTTCATCCAATTTCTTGGCCTTTGAGCACAGTGATTAAAGTTTCAGGGTTTAGTGCCACCAGGCTGGATCTGAAACCCAACTCGGCCACCTACTACTAGCTCTGTGACCTCCAGCAAGTTACTTAGCTGCCAGTTCTGTCATTTGTAAATCAGATGTGGGAATGATGGCTACATCCTAAGATGCTCTGAGGACTGAATGAGCTGGTACACGTGACATGTTTTAAAAAGCGTCTAGCGTATAGTGACCACTCAATAGCTATTATTCTTTCCACCTGAGATTCTGATGGACCCCAGGAAACTGTCTTTTTGGGTATGCTCCTCAGGTGACTTGGGTGGCCAGCCAGGAGTGCAACTGTTGGCATAGCAGAAAATGCACGGAATTTGGGGTAAGGAGATCAGGGCTCTGGTGGTGTTTTTGCCTGTGACCTAATGTGTAATTTTTTTTTCTCCAAGTCTCCATTTTCTTGTTTGTAAAATGCAGCTAATATGCTTGATTTATTCCTACAGTTGTTGTGGGAGGTCAACTTGCTAAAGTCATTTCTTTGGGGAAGCAGGCTTGCTGGGCCTGAGTGTGAATTCCACTTCTGACACTATGCTAGACATTGCCAGCCCCCTCTTCTTCCTAATAGGACCCTGATTTTGCGCGGGGTGTAAATGTGCCCGGTGGAAAATACTCCACTTCCCGCACTCCTTGCTGTAAGGGTGGCCACATGATGCAGTTCACTCACATATGCTAAGGATTTCTGGGAAGGTTTTTGTTTTTCTGATGAAGGCATTCATCCTGTTGCTCCTTTTGTCCTCTTCTTCCTGCCTGGAACATGGATGAGAGGCCTGGAGCTGCAGCAGCCATCATGTGATGAGTGAACAAATGAGGAAGGGAGGCCTGTAAGCTGAGGATGCTGGAGCAAAGAGATGAAAAGATTCGGGCCCCCTGTGGCTAAGCAGCTGGACTGGCTCTGGGCTGCCTACCCCTACTTCTTATGTGAGACAAATGGATCGCTAGTTAGTTAAGGTCGAGGTTATTTTTTGTTGGTTATTTGTACCCTAAAGCTACTTAGAAAGAATTCTAAAAGAATAAAGTTGCTCGAACTGTGTCTGACCTAGTGCCCATTCATGTGTGTGTTCCCCTACTCCAGCTCTGAGACATTTTCTGCATGTGTAAAATGAGGCCCCCTCTAAATCCAATATCCTATACCTACCTCATTATAAGATAGAAGAATTGGGTTCTGGGGACTGGTTCCTGGGTTGTGGGAGGGTCTGTAAGTGACTCAGCACAGGTGCAGTGTGGACTACCTGTAGCATCTGAACCCTACAGAGGCCACCATACCCTAATCAAAGCAGATGCAAAAAATCTCCACGTGCTCCTGGGAGGTGAAGTGTGCAAAATGCGAGTCCACAGGACACAAAATTGCCTTTGTTCTGACATAAGCATGGAAGACAATTCTAAGGATCCTGTCCCTGCTGACACACACATTTGAGAGGAAGAATAAAAACCTGTTAACTTCCACCCCTCTCCCCTGGACATATATTACATTTCCATCATATTCTCTTATTGGAAACTTAAGTACCTGGGTGTGAGTGTGGGCACCTGTGTGTCAATGTAGGGGGATGGGGAGAGTTTTGGTTTGCATTACAATTCTTACCTGCCCAAGCATGGCTTCAATAGGATCAGGGCGCATGCCCTCTAGGACCCATAGGAATGTACATGACTCATCACAGCCAGCTGCTCCCTCTGCCGCCTGAATCCTGCAGGTCCCCATTGCCTTCTGGCACCACCAGTGTGATCTGAGCACTCCAGCCCCGGCTGAAAACAGCTGCACCGGAGTCAGTACTAATAAAGCTCTTGCAGACCTTATACGTTAAAATATAGCGAACACAGAGGGAATGTTTTGGGTTTGTTTTTGTTTTTTTGAAATGTATTTTTCCTCCATTATTTTTTTAAAAATGAACTGCAATTTTACTATCAAAGTAAAGCAAATCATACAATGAGATGAACCCGTGGGGCTTCAGCATAGACTTGCTTCCTCTCTCCCGAGGTTCCCTGGAGCCCCAGGCAGCGCTCGTGATTCTGTTCTCAGAAGGCTGAATTTTGTCCAGTCCTTTGGCTCCTTCCCAGACTGGCCTTCACAATCCAGTCCCGTTCTGACCCCTGCTCAGAGTCGCTCGTGTCACTTGCCTCCACGACCAGCAGCTTCGAGTAGCTGATTTTCCGCTCGCGGGGCAGTCTTGGCTGGACGGACAGGAACAGGGCCAGCCAGAGCAACACGACCACGCAGCTGGCCCGGTAGAGCACAGCCTGGCTGAAGTGCCTCACCATGAAGCCCCCCACAAAGCTGCCCAGGCTGGCTCCGCCCCCATAGAAGTGGCTTCGGAACATGGCACTCAGAGGTCTCTCCATTCCGGCAGGGGCCAGGTCCTCTACCGAAACCCCCACTGCCCACCACAGAGCCCCATTGCTGACAGCACTCAAGATCTGAACAGGGAGGACAGACCACCAGCTCCAGAGGAAAGAGTAGTATAGCAGCTGCCCCGAGAGGCAGCCCAGCCCCAGCCCTACTGTTCCTGCTCTGGACAGTTTCCTAAGCAACGTTGTTTTGAATGGATGAAGTAGAATTTCCCCCAGCAAGCCCAGGGCAACGGAGAAACCCATAACCAGCTCACTGCTCCCGTGGTCTTCCATGTGCCAGAACAGAAAGTTCTGGACTGTGCTGGTGGCAGCTCCTATCAGAAAGACAGTGAAGGCTAGGAGAATGAGGCGGGGGTCACCCTCTACCAGAGACAGTGCTTTGACAGTTTTGTAGCTGGGTTCCTGCCGCCTGCAGATGGGGACGGGAAAAACAATGCTCACCAGTAAAGCCAGGGTGCTGACCAGCGAGTAGCCATAGAAGTGCACCACACCCCAGGGGCCACTCGTCTTCAGGAAGCAGGCCAGCTGCTCCACCAAGGCTGCAATGCCACACACGCCTACCGACGTGCCCAGCAGCTTCCAGATCCAAAGGTTTCTGTAACGGTCAGTGGCGTCCACAAAATCCAGGTATTCAAAAAGGCTGTCATCTGCCACCTGCTCCAGAGGGGCTGTCAACAGCTCCCAGAACACCAAGGACACCAAGCAGGGAATGAAAGTTCTTCGAAACCCTTCCAAGGAGAGGCCAAAGGTCCCTGAGCTCCCCTTGGCTGCCGACAGGTTGGCTGGACTTCCCAGCGCTGAACCCCCAGCAAGCAAAGGGGGGGCAGTACTGACCACCTTAAAAGCAACTTCCCCGGAAGTGTCTTTCCCCCCAGAAGCGAGAGGATGGAGAACTTCGGATGTGGTCCTGGCTCTTTCAACAGAGCCCACAAAGTTTCTGGGCAGATGACTGAAAGGTTCTTGGACACTTTCTGCTGGTCCTTTTCTGAAGCCAGAGGCGACCCCGATGCCAGTACTTCTCTTGGCTGGGAGGCTGGACGCTTCAGCTGGGTGGTTTGAGCCCGGCTCTTGGGCCGACGTGAAGTTCACAGTCAGGGCGACCTCCGGTGGTAGGACTGTGGGGGTCACGCTGTGGCTGCCGTTACAGGAGCGGTATCCCCGATCTTCGTCCAGCGGCGGCACCTGCACCATCAGCAGGCTGGCTCCCACTGAGCCCAGCAACGAGCCTATCAGAAGCACCCTCCTTTTCTGGTAGCTTTCGGCCAGGAAGGCACAGAAGGGAGCCCAGAAGGCCGCGATCAGGTGCTTGGTTCCCATTAGGACGCCCACCCAGGGCGCGGCCAAACCCAGCTGCCTCAGGTAGAGGGTCAGAAACGGGGTCACGGAGGCATCCCGGACTCCACACACCAAGTGAAAGAGCTTGGCCACTCCCAGCGCCCTGCTGATGTCCCACTGGGGATTGGCGCTCATGGCTGCCCGGCACCGTCAGACCCACGCCGGCGGAGGGCGGAGCTGGGCGCCCGGCCGCGGCCGCAGCCCCGCAGGGAGGCTCGCGGGGAGGTGCAGGCGGCCCCGCCTCCAGCCTCCCGCAGCGCCGCGGTCACCGGGTTAACGGCCGCCGGCGACCCCGCCCCTATGTCCGGCCTCGGGCCCGGAAGTGGTCCCGCCCCGAGGGGCGGTGCACCTGGGGGAGAGGGGCCGGCGCACCTGCGGGCTGCACCTGCCACGCCCCGCGCCCTCCTCCGCCTGGGGCAAGGCCCGCCCCGAGCCGCCGCACCTGCCGACTCAGGTGCGCGAGGGCCGCGGCCGGTGGCTTGCAGGGAGCGCTCCAAGCTGAGCCTCCACGACCCCGACGCTGTTCTGCGTCGCTCACAAATCTGAGTTAGATCCCCGAACAGCTTCAGGTGAGTGCAAGTATCGGAGAGGCGGAGAGCGAGAACGGAAGTCAAGATTGAGTTTCCTTGCTTATCTTCAGGTCTTTGCTCAAATGCCCCTTGATCAAGGCCCACCCAGTTACTGTCAGGACCCGCCCCTGTCCACCCTTACTGAAATCCAAGTCCCAGCCCCCTCCCCAGACTCGGCCTCTCTCCTCTGCTTTATTTTTCTCCGTAGCGCGTATTATTATCCAACACACTACCGGTTTCTATATCACTTATCTTGTTCGTTGTCTGCCTCCATCAGAATCAAAGCTCCAGTAAGGCAGCTATTCTTGTCCGCAGTGCTTGGAGCTGTTTCACTGGGTGTGAGCGACCCCCAGAAGGGGCGTGACTGGGTGAGCCAATCTCTTCCGTTGGGACGATCCCCAGACAGAGCTTGACAGCTGAGGGCTGTCCTGGAGTGGCACTCCAGCACCCCATTCGGGCATCCATCCTAGGCTCTGAAACAGTATGCATGTACTGGAGAGTTTTAATCTACACCTAAGCTGTCCAATTTGGGAGTACACACTCCGGAGGAGGTTAGCTAACATTTAATTTAAAAGCCACACTCCAGAGACGGTGAATACTAGCACTTCACCAATCTTAGAACAACAAAAGTGACCTCATTAATTAACCTGATAGATATTGGCAAAATTTCATTGGTGAAATTAGTAGTGTCCAAGTTACTGTAAGTGGTTATAATTTTTTTTTGGAGTATTTTGTCCTTGTTGAACAGAGTCTAAGAATCTAGATATTCCTGTAGTCCACACTCTTTGGGATGGTGCTATTCCAAATGGTACCAAGATGGTCCAGTATCCAGCCACTGATTCAGTTAACTTTTTGTGCCAGGCTGGTTAGAGTACCTAATTTGGTTGGGGTGGAAAGGAGTGTGTAGCAGGATTTGGTCCACAATTTGCTTTCATTGCAAGCTCATAGAGATTATTTCAGGAGGAGGCCCAGAGTCCTCACCTAACTCTAACAACTGTTTACTTGAACCTAGTAACTATGAAAGCCCATGATAAGAATCAGTTTGCATCATCCCAATAGCAGAAAAAAAATCTAGCCACCTTCAGGTAAACTCACTCAAATTCAGTGATATCCATCACTTCGGATTTAAAACCACCTCAGTCACATTGAGGGCTGTCCCTAGTCCCTCTCCGATCTGGGTTCTGCAGCTTCAGTGGAGGATCTCACATCCATCTACTCGTCGGTTTCCACCTGTCCAGAGCTGACCTCCACGGAGGCACTCCGCCAAGTTGGTGTCCATCAGATGCCGCTCACAGCTGCACCTCTTCCCTTTTACTGCCAGGCCCCTTGGACTTGTTTGCTTTCAACTACCTGAGGAAACCTTACCTGCTTCCCATGCCCCGTGGGAGCATGGGAACTCTCGCTAAGGCTGCCCTTGGGCCCATCTACCTAGACACCCCAGGTGGCCCTTCTTACACGATCTCTAGGCATTGAGAATGTGCTCTGGGGTTTGCCCCCATTCCCAGGGCAATGAGGCCAAAAGTGAAGAACCTACCTCTCTACTCTTGAATCTCCAAATGCAAAAGGGATTCTTCCACCTTCGCCCCAACCCCACAATCCCCGGGGACTCCACCCAGGTGAAAGGGATGAACTAAAGTGAAGCCTTTATGTTCTCTCTATTACTTTCTCCTGGGGGTGAGGGAACCGGTCTGTGCCACTGATCTTCCCTATTTTATACCGGGTGTGAGTTTTTGAACCCAAAGCTAAGAATTTTGATGTCTCTAATCTCTGGTTTCTCTGAAGCCAGCCTGCATTCCCACTTCTGTCTTGGGACAGTGCATATCCTAAGTCAACATGTGGTCAGGTAGACAGAACACACCAGTAAACACTTCTCAAACTCTTCCCTGGCCCAAGCGGATTCATTAGGGTAGATGGAGTCCTGCCTCCAATCTCTATTCAAATACAAATGCTGCTGGGTGTTAGATAAAAGCAGAAACACTTTAGTGTACATTTATTGAATCTGACACTTTCCTCTCCACGGGGAGAGGTGCCTGTCTGGGAGGAGGAGAGGTGGGCAGAGGCCCAAGTGAGGGAAGGGAGCAGACTGGAGGCGGAGAAAGTGTAGCTGCCTTTGTCTACTTCCCAGTCCCCCCCCGGGACACAGGGCCCTGGCAAAACAGCAGCTCTCACTCTGTCTTAAGGGCCGGGTGGGGAGCTTGAGTGGGAGAGGTGGGAATCGAAAATCAACGAAGGAGCGGACATTCGTGCGAGGAGCTGGGCTTTGTGTGTGTGCAGCTTTGCCCGGGCCATCATCGGGTGACCTCGTGTGGGTCCTGCTCCATCACCCCCATGGCCAGCCTCCTTGTGCTCCGGGCCCTCACTGGCTCCTAGTCGGGGCCAGAAGCTGTCCAGGGCAGCCTGGTCTTGCTCCGGCCATTGGTGTGAGTATTTGGACTGGTGAGCTAGTGTATTCTTCCTCTTGGGCCCGAAGCTCTCAGAATCAGCAACCCCACTGCCCCTTCAGGGTCACTGGACGATGCCGGAGAATGTGTTGATGGGCATTAGAAGGGGCTTGGGCTTGGCTTTGGTTCTTTCCGTCTCTTTCTGCTGGTGTGAACCGAGCCACAGTGCCTTGGACTTCTGGGTGCCGGAACATGGCTCTGGGCAGGGAGCAACCTCAAATCTGTGAGGAGAGAGAGACCAGCTCAGGAGACCAATCTCAGGGGTCAAATCCGCCAGGGATTTTAAAGATAATCCCTTTATTGCAGGGTGTAGAGGTGGGGGCCCCACGGAGGGAAGAGGAAGCGTCAGGACAAGAAAGAGCACCCCTTGCCCGGCCAGTGTGGCTCAGTGGCTGAACATCGACCCATGCACCAAGAGGTCACTGGTTTGATTCCTGGTCAGGGCACATGCCCAGGGTGTGGGCCAAATCTCCAGTGGGGCCATGCAGAAGGCGGCCAGTCGAGGTTCTCTCTCATCAATGTTTATATGTCTCTCTTTCTCCTTTCTTCTCTCTAGAAGCAATAAAGAAAAAAGAAAGAAAGAAAGAAAGAAAGAAAGAAAGAAAGAAAGAAAGAAAGAAAGAAAGAAAGAAAGAAAAAGAAAGAAGAAAGAGCACCCTGGGCCTAGGGTGAACACTGGGAGAGAAGAACATGCCTGGACGGGTCACCGTGTATGGCTTCCTTATCCAAATACAGCTCTCCAGAGGAGACCAGTAAGGGTCACATTAACGGGCACAGCTGCCACTGTAGGTCAGCTTGTGTTGAAGGGCGCAGTGCCAGTACTGGGCATTGGATCAGGAGGACTGCAGGCTGAGGGTTCATGGAGGAATCTCAGCTACTCAGGGTCAGCTGCTCATTTGCCCTTCTTCCTGGATTCAAGTCACAGGGCAGTGGCCTAAGTTCACACCTACCAGGTACACCTACCTGGATCTGCCTCTGGAAGGCTGGAGGCAGGTGGGAGGGGCTGGCTTCTGCTTAGGTCTGCCCCACGGAGCATGCAGCCCAAGAGTCGGCAGGCCCAGCCTCACCTGACCACATCCCTGAAAGTGCGCCGATTGTCCTTGTCCAGCCACAGTGTCAGCAGCCTCTGGTCCTGGCTCTGGATCTGGATGCTGGCCGTCCGGAAGGAGTTTGTCACGGTCTGCAACAAAGAGACAGCTCATGCATCACCTTTGCGACAGATGGCCCCGCCAATTTCTCCCACCCTGAACTCCGGTGTGTTTCTTCAGTCCAGTGCAGGAGGTCTCCGGCTCTCTTTCTGCAAGTGACTCAGGGCAGTGACAATCCTGTAGGAACTGCTTCTAGGCTGCTCTCATCCCTGGGGGTCTCTGTTCTGCAATTCTTTTCCAAATCTGTCATCCGCTGAACACAACCTGGGATGCTGTGGCTCGTGCTTGCCAGGTTATCAAGTTACCCAAGCACCTCCCATATGACAGACATGCTATGGGTGGGATTTTCTGTTCTGACCCCAGCTCTGTGTTGGATTACATACAAAATTATTTACCTGGGACAGAGGGTCTAGAAAGAGGCCATCTACCCCCCACAACTCAGATCAGACCTTATCAGTTTGTAACATGGAATTGTCTGCGGGCCAGATATGGGTGCAAGGAATCAACCCTCTGCATGGGGTACCTGGCCCGAGGTGTTCCAGCCTTCCACACCCCAAAGCCCTACACGGCTTCTCTAGACAGTACCCAGGGCCAAAGGAAAGCAGCCCCCAGACACCTCTCTAACCTCCGATGTGAGGGGGCCACTCGGAGAGGACCTCTCCCACTGGGCAGAGACTTGGAACAGCCTGGGTTACAGGTGGGGCATCAGAGGTCCTTCCCAGGCCACTGGCCCAACCTACATGCAGACAGTAGCTTTGGGTGATTCACCAGCACCAAACACTCGAGGTGCTAGAGTCCTGGAGTCCATCTTGTCCAAGTGTTCTCAACCCTGGCTGCTGGCAAGAACCGTCGCTCAAAGAATAAAATTAGAGATTCTGATTTAAATGATCTGGAGTCCGGCCAGACATGGATATTTAAAAACATCCCACCGAGGATATGTATTTTAAAATTGAATTTTAGGGGCAGGGGGAGAAAGAGAGAGAGAAAGAAAGAGAGAGAGAAACATTGTATGTGTGCCAACCTGGGATTGAACCCACAACCCAGCCCTGACTGGGAATTGAACCTGCAACCCTTTGGTGTATGGACGATGCTCCAATCAACTGAGCCACCCAGCCGGGGCCAGGCATGAGCATTGTTAAAGAAGCTCCCTGTGGTAGGCATGGCTGAGAACCACTGAGCAACCTGCCTTTTCACTGTCCTAGAGCAGAGGCACCAGCAGCAGCGTGAATGGGGGTCAAGCATGTCCTGGCATCTCGTCTGCAGTTTTGTGGGGTGGGGGTAGGTCAGCCAGAAATGTATGGGCAGAGTGTGTAAGAATCTCACAGGAGGAGGGTTACAGATAGACCTCCCGGGTTCTAACGCTGGCTCTGCCAATTACTGGCTGTGTGACCTTGGGCATATTTCTTAATCTCTTTGTGCTTTGGTTTCTCGCCTATTTAGGAAAAAATATGGCAATGGTAGCAACTACTTTGTAGGACTGTTGTGAAGATTTAGGACAGTATATATGGCATCCTGGCTGCTGTATAGAGCTTCATCTCGTCCACTGAAGGGTCGCAGGTTTGATTCCAGGTCAAGTGCATGTGCCTGGGTTGCAGACTTGATCCCTGGAGTCAGGAGCTCAAGGGGTGCATGGCAGGGCAGGACATATAGATTTGGCTGTCCTCAACAAATTGGACTAACACTGTGTAAGTGGGTTTGCTCCCCAGGGAATGAGAGAAAAAGTGGGCCAGGGGAGAGGTAGAGAACAGTAGCTATTTAAGGAACCGATTTAGGAAAAAGAGTCCAGGGGAAGAGGCCAGAAAGCAACAATCAGACATCTAGAAGAAGAACTATCGGAGTGGTGTCTCAGAACTCACAGATTTAGGGAGTTTGAAGACTCAGAGGACTGGGCTTCAGTTCTAGTGGTGAAGTCATTCAAAACTGATCAGAGAACAGAAAACTAGGGAAAACCACCCAGGACAGTGTTGCAAGCCAACTTTATTGGATATAACATATAAATATAATTTCAAATACATTTTCATTTTATTAAGAATTTTTTCTTTATCTTTAGAGAGAGGGGGAAAAAGAGAGATAGAAACATCAATGAGAGAGAACATCGACTGGCCGCCTCCTGCTTTCCCCCGCCCTGGGGATCAGGCCCACAACCTGGGCATGTATCCTGAACGGGAGTTGAACGGGCGACCTCTTGTTGTATGGATTGATGCTCAACCACTGAACTACACTGGCTGGGCTAATATAGTTTCATTTTAAAGATAACCACTAATAGAAAAAAAGTAGCCCTGGCCAGTTTGGCTCAATATTTAGAATGTCAGCCTGCAGACCAAAGAGTTGCAGGTTCAATTCCTGGTCAAGGGTACGTGCCTGGGTTGCAGGTTTGATCCCCAGCCCTAGTGGAGGTCGTGCAGGAGGCAACTAATCAATGTGTCTCTGATATCAGTGTTTCCCTCCCTCCTTCCCTCTCTTTCTCTCTCTCTCGAAAAAAAAGTAGTACATATAAATTAAAAAATACCACATAGCCCTGGCTGGTGTGGTTCAGTGGTTAGAGTGTTGGCCCAAGGACCGAAAGGTCGCAGGCTTAATTCTGCATGAACTGTGCCTGAGTTATAAGTTTGATCCCTGGCCCAGGTCTGCGCACATGTGGGAGGCAACCCATCGATGTGTCTCTCTCACATGGATGTTTCGCTCTCTCTCTCTACCCCCTTGCCTTCCTGCCTTCCACTCTTTCTAAAAATCAATGGAAAAAATACCCTCAGGTGAGGATTAACAAAATACAAATCAAAACAAAACAAAAAAACCTGAGCACAAAGAAACATTAAACAAACAAAAAAACAGCAAAAGGCTGTGGGAGACCATTTGCATGGTATCCATCTTGTTAAAGTCTGCTCTGCTGTCTCCGGCCCCAGGGCGGGGTCTCTCTGCGTACAGTGTCTGCATTCCTCTAGATAATTGTTTACTCCATTCTTTGCTTATTTGTTCCACCTGGGGTATTTATTGGAATTTGCTTCAGGTGGAATACTCATTAACTGTTTCACCTGTTTTCCCCCCTATATATAATGTGAACTCCCCCTGAATAAACGAGACTTGATCAGAGCCCTGTCTTGTCTCCATTTCTCGTGTCTCTTGTCCCTCCTCATCCTCACTCCCCCTCTAGAGTCCTCGTTGCTCGACCTGCGGGCCGGGTCAAGTGGCGCCCAACGTGGGGCTCCAGCACGGGGGATCCAGTGAAGGACGCCGTTCGAGTGGCCGGCAGAAAGGAAAAGAAAAGAGGGAACGACGTGGGAACCTGCTGCGTCTGCACCCCTCGGGTAAGTGAACGGCGATTATGGGTCAAGCATTGAGCCAAGATAAGATGTTCGTTGAAGGACTAGGAAAGGCTATCAAGGCACGAGGAGTAAAGGTAAAAATCAAGCATTTGTGTCAGTATTTTGATTATATTAAGGAAGTTTGTCCTTGGTTTTGTACAGAGGGAATTATAGATCCAAAACGATGGAAAATAGTTGGTGATGCTCTTAGAGATTATTATAAGACTTATGGACCAGAGAAGGTCCCGGTAACTGCTTTTTCTTATTGGTATTTAATAGATGAGGTTTTATCTCAGAGACATTCTGATCCTCTCGTTGCCAATGTAGTAGAAAATGGCGAGGGTATATTACAGAAAGAAAAAAAGGGGAATGAAAATGAAAGTAAAGAATGTGAGGACTTTATGTCATTCGATAGTGATAATGAGGAAGAAGAAACCGAGCCCACTTGGAATAAAATTATGCCTAAGGGCTCTCATACGGGGAGACAAGAAAAACTAACAGAAAGAGAGGGTGGAGAAATCAAAAGAACAAAAACTAGTGTTGCCCCAGAGGAAATAATCAAATCCAAGACGAAGATTTATCTCGACCTATCAGAATATTTGGAGACTGTTCCTGACAGAGGGGAGGTTAATTGGGACGAATTGGCGGATAAAGCTGCCAAATATCGTAACTCTGATTGTCCGCCTGTTTCTCAACGCCCCCCGCCTTATAATAATAATCCCAGTGCTCCCCCGCTGGCATGTCCAGTTCTTGACCCTAGAAAAGAACTTAGAGATAAAATTGAACACCTCAAAGAACAAATAAAACTGGAAAAAGAGCACCAAGATCTCATAGCCCAATTAGAAGGACTAAAAATAGGAAAACCTAAAAGTGAGAGTGAAGTAAAACCAGAAACCCTTGGGAATCAAAAACCACCCATGAGGGGAGCTGCCCCAAAGATCCCTCCCCACACGCAACTTACACCAGAGCTAGATGATATAGAGGCTTTTCCAGTAACAGAAACAGTGGACGCACAAGGACAGGCTTGACGTCACCATAGCGGGTTTGATTTTAAATTAATAAAGGAGTTAAAGACCGCTGTAGCACAATACAGAGCCACAGCCCCGTAAACTATGGCAATTTTAGAATCAGTAGCCGAGAATAGGCTTACGCCTGGGGATTGGCAGACGTTAGCCCGAGCGACACTTGCTGGAGGAGACTATCTCCTATGGAAATCAGAATATGTAGAGAACTGCAGGGACATTGTTAAATGCAACACACAGGCTGGTAATGGATGGAATTTTGATATGCTAATAGAAGAAGGAAATTATGCTAATAGTGATGCCCAAATGCAACATGATGCAGGTCTTTTTGCCCAAGTTCAGGCTGTAGGCACTAGAGCATGGAGGAAACTGCCCACCAAGGGCGACATGAGCTCCTCCCTTACTAACATTAAACAAGGACCTGATGAGGCTTTTGCAGATTTTGTTCACCGCCTAATTACTGCAGCAGGCAGAATTTTCGGTAATGCAGATGCCGGCACGGATTTTGTTAAACAATTGGCTTTTGAAAACGCTAATGCCGCCTGTCAAGCCGCTATTAGACCTTATAAGAAAAAGACTGATTTAACTGGCTATATTCGCTTATGCTCTGATATTGGGGCTGCCTATCAACAGGGCCTTGCCAAGGCTGCCGCCTTGAAAGGGTATACAATTAGACAATTCTTATCCCAACAAAACAAGAGTAATTGT